GTATATTTGCAGTAGTAGCGCCACGATTGGCAAGCGGCTTGGCAACCGCAGCTTTTTATTACTTTACGCTGTTATCAGGAAGATGCTGCCCTCTATCTTCTTTTTTAGTTTCGCTCGCCGCCTCTAAATGGCTAACATATTTCTATTCCCGTTCATCATTTCGAATCCCTCTGCAGATTGCCACATAAGTTGGATATTTGCCGTTGACGCCACGCTTGGCAGGCATGTTGCCAGCTGCATCTTTTTATTATTTTGAGCCGTATTCAGAAAGTCGCTGCTGTCCGTCTCATCTACGAGTATATTTCTACTCCCGTTCATGAATACAGTTCCTCACATACGTTCATCGTGAATGAAACTACATTTATGAAATTTTCTATGTCATGGTGCCAATCAATATTCAATGTGACCAATGGTCAAATATCACAAATAAATACTATATCGTGTATTAATAAAAAAATGAAATTGAACATTATTTTGTGGAAACTATATCAACTTTTATGAATACATTTAAATAACGCATTTCTGATTCCAGGACAATTTACCCTTCATAAAAACATATCGCAAGACATGGCCGATATAAAAGAGTGTTGCTAGACGTGTGATATTTATGCGATTCTGATAAGCTCACTAATGTATTTCTGTATTAGTTCTACAAGTAATCCAATTTTGCTAATTTTGGCACGGAGTAGTATTAATATTTCTAAATTGAAAACCACGCGAGCGAAGCCGCGGGTAAAAAGCTAGTAAATATATATGTATGTATAAAGGATAATTTTTATATATGGATAAGTATGTCTTTGTATTCATTTTCATTTCTCCCGAAGGAGAAAGTTTAATTAATTAGCAAGCAAATAAGCTGGTGCACCTATATATGAGACAACTGGACGAATAGGAACATGTTCTTTGTGTATTTTATGTAACCCATATAAAGTGGGTGCTTGAGGATTCATTCGAACAAGACCGTTCCGAGACAAGTTGTGATCGGGAAAAACATATGATGACTTTCGTATATATACTTTAATATCCGAAGTAAACTTTTTGGTTGGGTCAGACTCCAATAGCTCAAAGTCATCACCTTGAATAACATCGCTAACCTTCTGGCTGTACCCGCTATTCCCCATAATTACAACAGTATTTCCCTTGTCGGTTTTAGTAACAATAAGTTTATTGTCTTTTTTTCTCTGCTTTAGTGACATAAAAATGGGGATCTCAGGATTGCAATGGGAATATTTCTTTAGCTACCAAACTCTTAATCTTTCCGATGTCCAATCTCCAACGGATGAGTTGTCCCTTTTACATAAAGGCCTAAATTTACTTCACTATCCAAGTATCTACTTACATACCTATAAGTACTTGTCTATTGTATTTAAAATATTTTAAGTTATAATAACACAAAACACTGAAATTAAAACTTTGAAACATTTTTAATAAGAAAACGATTACATATCTGTTAGGAATCCTATTTCAAGTTTATTTGTTGTTTACACTATCTACCTTTTTCTTCCGAGCCAAGCATCGCGATTCTCGACGAATGGCCTTGCAAGTTGCATGCGTTAAGCTGAGAACAAATTATCGGACGCGGCTGACAGACGCGGCTTATTGAAATCTAGCCAGTACGTTTAATACTACACTGTGCATACTATCGGCCGTAAGACGCGGACATGACCTTGCGTCGCTCTTGAGCGTTCGGACGTCCGAACAGAATCTGGCCGGCTGGATGTTTGGTGCGTCCGCGGACAGTGTGAACGGGGCACGGGACGCGTCCGCGGACGTTTCGAGTGTCACAAGCGAACCAACTGCGCTCGCGACATGTGTAATGAAAAAAAAATTAATTGAATCTGTTCATGGCCACGAATGCCTATATTTATAAGTACATATTAGTACATTCTTAAGTAAATTTTTTAACGTTTATCATCTTTTTGTAAGTCTGGATACAATGTATGAAATTCATCATACTCGAGTCGTTTTACATTAATATCATGGACCCAAGCACTCCTTTTCACTTTTTTTAGGAGGACAACATAAAACAGCTGCCGCTAACTTTATAGATTCATCCTCGCTGTCGCTGCTTGTCATATTTCTCGAATGACAAACCTTTATGGAATGACCGAAGCGAGGCGTCCGAAGACGCCGTCTCGACTACCGTGCACACCGCTAATTAAGGGGAGAGGGTGGGTTGGGGGAGTTTTTTTTGGGGGTTTTTTTTATTAATGTAAAGGAACGAGTAAGGTTAAAGGTTTTTGGCATCGTAGAACTCACATACAGTCAGTCGTCAGTCGATCATAGTCGGAATAGGTATTTCACCTAAGTAACTTAATTAACATTCCCCAATGTATTTTGTTAAATCATATATTGACATCCCTTCGTAATAACGGAAAGACCGCCGTAATGTAGCAAGTGGAAAAGATGCAAAGTATTACGGACACTCTCGCGCAGCGATAGTTTTATTTAGATTGCGAGCGCGATTTATCTAACTAATAATATTTATGTAGGCTATTAAACGTCGGCAAGCAGTCAAAATTAAGAGTGAAACTTCGTACAGAAGTTAGTAGAAGTACTATTATTTATTCTGTGCCCTGGATGGCTCCCGATTGTAGGTAATTATTTCACGCAGATAGCAAGTGACAGAGGCCTGCCCCAGCATAAGCGGTTTAGTTCAGGTATACAAAAAGTACTCCGTGGGTTTAGTATACCACTTTTTCGTTTTATTGCGTACTGTGCAAAACTTTTTTGGTTACAGAAAACACATGCTGAGAATAACAATTAAGGACCAGGATGCAGATTTAATGGAAAGTGAAACACTGTTAAAGTTGCAGTCTTTATTGATAGAAAATGGTTTATATTCACTAGCACATTTGCGTGTTAAAACTCAATAACTAAATAGGTGGGCAGTCATGTGCTTCTTTAGTAATCTTGCTTCCATTAAAAATAAATGTACCTAACATACTGATTTGGTATGATATCTCTTATACAAGTCTAACAAAAATAATTGTTGTGGTATATACTCAATTCAAAATACTAATATATATATATATATATGTGATTTAAGTGTTATTGTATTATGTATATGATAAATCCTGATGATATTTTTGGCAATGCTTTGAGATGATAATATCAAGGCATTGCTTAGTTCAAGAAAAAATATCACATTTACTTTATTCAAAATGTACCAAAAGTATTTAAGTTTTCCAATAGCAGGAGGGTAAAATGGTATAATGTTCAGCTAATTTACTTTTTTTCACACAAACTATTTGTCAACTCTCTTTATGATGCATAAAGGCGGGAAATATACACGCCTGTAACTTGCACAATGGCATACTATCTATCAAATGACATGCCTGTAGCTCGCAAGCAAGTAGATACCAAGAAATTCGATTATTTCGAATGTCATGTGCATCAGGGCACGTGCGCATACCAAAAGGCACTAGTGAATGCACCCGAAAACAACGGGCATAGAGCCGTATATAGTAACTGGTAAGCAACAGCCAAGTGTACATAATGATCTTTTTTTCATTATTTGTTTCCGTCAGTAAGTTCTGTCAGTTCGGTCAGTAAACTATAATTGTTATGACTCGATATGATTAACCCATTGCGAAAATTTAAAAAAATATGCTGCACAGGCAGTTTCTAGTATCCAAGTAGTGTACATATTTATGCAGATCTCTTACAAATTACTGGCATGCCATGGAGAAATTTACTTGCAACTTTTTGCAAATGTATCCTTAGGGTGCCAATTACCGGCATGTGTCATTATTTTGAATGCAACTTCTCTAACTTAATGGCTTGTCCATTCCCGGCATAGTGCTGAAAATATTATCATTTATCATCTCTAAAACGAAAGGAAGGCACTGCCAAGCAGCGGAACTTTGGTTCAAAACTTTATGGCTTTAAAAAACATGTTTGTACTAAATATATAACTAGTATGTAAACACCATTTTATTTTTACATATTATAGGCGTCACATTAATTTCCTATGTGAATTACAAAGAAGAAATATATCTCCTCTTTGTCCTATGTAACTCAGCCACTGTCAGATAAGTATTGACTGACTATATATTTTTTGGACAACGGATGTTTAAGTTTTCTTTAATCTACAAAATGTCAGTTACATGAAATGCATTAATTTTCTAATATAACAAAGTTCTATGTAGTTTCTTCCCTGTGTTGCAAATTTAAATTTAATTTGCTAATAAAAATATATACTAAGTTTCGGAATAATTTTCTATATCTTTATCTACCTCAGCCTTCCTCATTTTTTTTGCCCTGATATCTGCCATTGTTTGTTCAATGGATCGTTGGTCTTTCTTGTTTTCACTAGGCACTTCACCATAGCTTTTATTAACATTTGTTTTCTGTGCCGCACCTAAAGCTGCTTCTTCACCAATAAGATGTGCATATTTTTGCTTATAAAATGTACCACTCAATTCTTCTTTGCCATGCTTTCGTTTTCTATTCTTTTCTTCTTCATTCTCCAAGGCGGCTTGCTTTTGCATTTCTATATGCCTGAGAGCCATCTCGGCTGCTTTATTCTCGTTCCAAATTCCTCCAGCTCGTCTTACTGTAAGCTCATCCTCTGATGGTCCCCTATCTTTGGCGTAAACCACTGAGTATCTGTCTATGCCTTCTTGTCCAAACGAGAATATTTGTACGCCAGCTGCCTCACCCACATCGCGAATTATCGACCGATAAGCATGTTCCATGGGCTCAAATTGCAAATAAGGTTTTGTACCATCTCTTACGAAGGCACTTATTTTCTCTTCAACTCGTTTCCTAAACTTGTTTAGCATATGGATTTCTTCTTTTTTCTTACGCTCCATTGCTTCCTTTTGTCTCTTTAGAGCATTTTTCTGAGCCTCACTGGCAGCAGGTGGTTTTTGCATAGAATTTAGAATAGAGTCCAGTAAATCCATGGTGCTAAATTTGATTTTCAGAACAAAACGATGTGTAAGCTAATATTTCTGAAACACGCTTTTGCCACTTAGAAGAGATTTTAAAATTGTCTACTTGCGAGTCGCTGTTAAGACCTCTGAGTGCAAGAACATTTAATGATGTTTCTATATGTGCACAAAATTCACTTCCATATGTTATAGTTTCATCAACAAAATCTAATAGTTGTTTTAGTGGGGGTTGAAGTGGAGTCCCCTTTACAAGTAAGCTCTGTTCAGAAAAATCTATTCCTTTACAACTTTCTTTAAGAGCGTTACCTTTGTTACAAAGTTTATCAAAAGAGTCTTCAATTACCAATCTGAAAAAAAAAGGATTTTAATTGCAACGCAAGATAATACAAACAAGTATGAAAAATGAAACTATTATAGCCTATTTAAAGTCCACAGCTGAATATAAGCCTCCCCCATAGATTGCCTCATAGAAGGGATATTTGCCAAAGTTGCCACACTTCGCGGGCGAGTTGGCAATTGATTTTTTTTTAATTTTTTGTGGTTATCAGGTAGATGTTGCTGCCCACCTACTGGTTTGTTTCCTCCTGCCACCACCTCTTACAACATCTATGGGACTATATCGAGTAGTAGATATTCTTACACTGCCACTACATGTCTTCAAGGAAAAATGAAACAAAGATAATAATTTTTTTTATAGGATAGAGTGACAAACGAGTACACAGTTCACGTGATGGTAAGTGGTTGCTGTGGCCCATAGACATCTGCATCTATCCTCGAATACGAATCAAAATGCAGATACATTGTCACCTGTGACTTAGGTGGAATGCCTCATTTCCAGTAAAAAGGGTCTCCTGTTCTCTACACTCACCATACGAAACAGAGCAGCATTAAGCTACTATTTGACGCTGGTATTCTGCGAGAGCGTGGTCCTTCCCCGGTCGAACCGACCCATTCGTGCTACCACTATACTACTAATATAAGTGCAGCATGGCTCTACCACGTAAAAAAATTATATATAAATAACTACTAAATGCAAATGTGAGACTAAAAATCTGTCTGTAGCCAGTAGCTTGTTACCATACTTGTCTGTTGATATTCCTCTTACACTCTATTATCCATAATAGTCTATAAATATCCACGGTTATATTTATTATATTTATATTAATTTGTGGGAGTAAGGTGTGTTATTTGGTAGAGGTTTGGTCCCCGATTATAATAATACCACTCCCATTAAAAGGTAATGCACCGTTAGAAGATAATGCACCAGAGAAAAATCAAAAAGAAAATCGCATAGAACTAACCTCAAAATGAATTTAGGAGATGGGAGGTGGTGGGAAGGGAGGCGGGGGAGTTGTAGAGTCGCCCCCCACCTCCACCTCCTGCTGGACGTGCTTAGTTTTTCTTTTATAACTTTTTAAGTTTTAATGTTTTTGAGGTTATGTTTTTGTAATGTGGGGAGAGAGAGAGATGGAGGAAGGAAGCACCACGTAGCGCTGTCGAGGGTAGCCGGTGGCGGTTGTCGGTTATTCTAGCTTCACCCAACACCCAACATGTGTGCTGGCCCTGCTATACATTGTACTAATAAGCCGAACATACTTCCCTAGCACTCTTTTGTTTCAGCACCCACCAAAGAACTTCGTAAGGTATCTTTTCTGTATGCTTTTTCAAGGTCAAAAACATGTAGTTAAACATGGTTTACCATCCAGCAATTACTCTATCTCAAGCCTTCATGGTGTGTGACATGAACTATATTCTTCAATTTACGCGAACACTACACATTGAAATAATACTAGTTTTTACGGAATTTATCGCGTATATTTAACTTTTTAAATACCCGACGTTTCGAACGCTTTACAGCACTCATGGTCACGGGCGAAACTGAGATGTTCAACGTCCATATGTCATAGTTAACCGCGGTTACCATAGATTAAAATTTAACTTTTGTTCCAATCTATGCAGTATGAACTTATGGTATCTTGAAGTCTTGCAGTTGTATGCTTGGGTTGGGATTTAATTTTATTTATTAGGGGATCCCAAGCAGATGGTAGCACCCAGCCATCTTCCCTATTGAAATTAGGATGTTTTTTGATTTCAATAGCCTCGCGAATCATCGTTGGAAGGAATCGGTGTTCTTTATCGAGGATTTGCGGTCTATCAAATCTGATGTAGTGACGGGGGCGAATTATAATCTGACGTATCCATGACTACCGAAGATAAGGGAAACGCCACGGTAGTCATGGATACGTCAGATTATAATTCTAAAATACAAGAACTTTTGTCGGATGTAAGTACTTATAAAGAAGAAAAAAAAAATGGCGAACGGTCGAATGGTTAACACGTACTTGTGAGTGCTTTTCGGTATTTGGTTAATTTTCCTTAATTCCTTCTTTTTGTGGTGGTGGATTCCTCTGTTGTAAGTAGATTACGTTTATAAGATATAGTTATTTCGAACAATACACTCAATTATGGGTGATGAAACGGGGTCTCCCCGTGAGAAACCCCCTGACCCTCCCGATGTAGACATGTGCTTTGGATTAAGTGATAATAATGATTGTGATCGTGGTAAAAAAAGACATGCTGAGACTCGAACATATGATCCAATATTATATAAAAAGAATTCTGTAGTTGATTTAACAGCATCAATAAATACTATATATAAACATCCCTGCCTAGAACAAAATCTTAGAATGTATGGGCCAAATGATCAAGGCCCTTTCATTGTCCACATCTCCCGGTCTTCGTCAGACCCTAGATTAGGGCTATCACTTCGACCTATTAAAATAGGTTTATGCTTGTCTAAAAATAATATAGGAAACATTAAAAAAGGAGGAGTCAAAAGTGTTGGTAGAAATCGCATCTCTATTGAATTTTGCTCAGCAGATGAGGCTAACAAATTCCTTAATAATTCATTGCTCGCGAAAGAAAAATTTATTGCAACTATTCCATCTTATAATGTTTCTCGAATGGGTGTCATCCGCGGTGTCCCTGTGGATTGGTCAATGGAAGAACTTGCAGAAGCTATTGAGCTTCTCCCTGGTTGTGGTAAAATCCTAAAAGCTCGCCGTCTTCAGAGAAAAACTTTTACTGAAGGGTCATCATCCCCTATATGGGTTCCTACTCAATCTATTGTTTTGACATTTGAAGGCCAGATACTCCCCAAATACGTATATGCATTCTTCACATCCCTTACTGTTGAAACTTATCAACTCCCCACCATCCAGTGCAAACAGTGTTGTCGATTTGGCCACGTAGCTGATCAATGCCGCTCTAAACCACGCTGCTTCCGTTGTGCCCAAGAACATACTGAAGCAAGTTGTTCTGTACCTGAAAGCGAAGCCACTTGTCTGTTATGCTCCAAAAATCACTTTGCTAATAACACAAATTGTCCAGAACACCATAGACAGAAATCTATCAAAGTTATGATGTCAGAACAAAATGTATCCTATATAGAAGCGTCAGCCAAAATCCCATATATTCGTTTGAACAATCTTCAAAAACAATATTCTGAAGTGGCCTCTACTCAGCCTTCACCTACTTCTACTACCTCCTTCAACCTCCCCATCATGTCACAGGCATATAGAAAAACCGTTTTCCAATCTCCCCGCCCCATCCCTAGAATCCCCAAGGGATATGTGACCATCAAGCCCATCAAAGAATAGTTGCAGACTGCCCATCCTCTACTCCAAATGGATGCGCATTATCCAATACACACAATCAAATATCTCCAAATGAAAATCTTGTTGAATGCCTAATTTCTCTCCTCAATAATTTAATTTTGAAAATGTCAGACTCACTACCGAACAACGTTGCAGAATTTTTTTTTAATCTCGCTAGTTTAATAGATAATATAAATGACTCAAACAAAAGACCTCCATCTTCTACAGTGGAACTGTAGAAGCTTGCACCCTAAAAAATCAGAACTTATCTTCCTAATAAATAAACATTCAATCTTGGTTGCTTCTATTTCTGAAACATGGTTCCTTCCTGGCTCCAAATTTCGCTTGCAAGGCTTTACCTGCCTCCGTGAAGATAGAAATGATGGTTATGGTGGTTGTTGCTTACTCATAAAAAAAATCGCTACCTTTTTTCTCAAATTACACTCCCTCCTCATAGCCAAAACATCAATGCTGTAGCTGCAAAAATTGCAGGAATCAACATTATTTCAATATACATCCCTCATCCAAATACCCACTTAATTCAAGAACTATCCTCTCTCTTTTCTTTGTTACCTCCCCCTTTTATTATTACCGGTGATTTTAATTCACATCATGTATCTTGGGGGTCACATTTTTGTGATGTATTCTCTTCAGAACTTATTCAAATTTTTGAAGATATCAATGCTTGCATCATTAACAATGGTTCCCCTACTCATAGAGTATATCCAGGACTAGACCCTAGGTCTGCTGTCGACCTAACAGCTTGCTCTTCTAGTCTAGCCCCTCAGCTTTCTTGGAAAACTCTCAATCAAACATATGGAAGTGATCACTTTCCCATTCTTATTACCAAACCCTATGCGGTTATTCCTTTTCCCTCCACTACGCCCCTCCTTAAATATAAGCTCCAAAATGCAGATTGGACTAATTTCACTAAATTCTTAGATTCTAAATTTACCCAAATGCAGGTTGACTCCTCAACCAACCCAATAACTTCTTACTCTTTATTGGTACAATATATAACTGAAGCAGCTGACTTATTTATCCCAATCAAAAAACCTACAGCAAGAACCTTGCCTCCCCTCCATGGTGGGATGCTGAATGCACCACTATGATTAAAAGGAGAAAAGCTGTAGAAAAACTTTACAATCACTGTGTGACAACCGATAATTTTATACTATTTCAAAAAACCTCTGCTCAAACAAGGAGACTTCTTTCCAAAAAGAAAAAAAATGGATGGAAAAAAATTTGTGAATCCTTGTCCCCTAATACACCAGTAACAATAGTTTGGAAAAATATAAAAAAATTTCGTGGATCTCTTACTTCTGATAGCAACATTTCTGATAACTCTCTATCATGGTTAGAAGTCTTCTCTGATATGCTAGCTCCTCCTTTTGTTCCTAATGAAAATGCAATATGTCCACCGATTCCAGTTCCGTCTAGCATCAACAATAATGAGATAATCTTCTCATCCTCTGCTCCAGGAGAAGATGGCATACCCTATGCATGTTTATGCAAATTAAGTCTTAAGGGAAAATTAATTCTTCTCCAAATTCTGAACAATATCTACATATCTTCTAATACTCCTCTGTCTTGGTCAAACCAAATTGTTATACCTATCCTTAAACCCGGAAAAAATCCCAAAGAAGCTTCTTCATACCGCCCAATTGCTCTATCATCTACTTTTTGTAAAA